GCCACAGGCCCACCCGCATTGTTTTAATGCAGTTGTTCTCTCTCTCTCTCTCTACATAAAAAAAATATATATGTACAAATGTATACCTGTATGTTACGGTAAACACGAGAGCTGACAAACTCAATCCACTGGCGCCCGTGAAAACGCCTGGTTTAAATGCCGCGGCAGTTGCACGCTTTGCAGATGTGATGTTTTCGAGCTTTTTTTCTTGAACAGATCGCCATCAAGGGACCCAGGACGGCGAGCATCATGAGCATCAGCTGGGGGTTCTCGGCAGCCGCCGCTGCTTCGAAAGGACCAGAGGCCGCAGCCTTGACTTCCTTGCTTTTGTTGCGATGCCGCAACACCGGGACGCCCAGCATCATGAGCATCAGCCGGAGGTTTTTGGCGGCCCCTGGTTGCTCTTCCGTGCTCAACAGGGGTATTTGCACCAAAGTAATGTCTGCATGCATACAAACACACATACATACGAACAAACAACATGCATGCGTACATGCAAAGCGGCCTGATATGCATACGTGCACGCATGCATGCATACATCCTTACATCAATACATCCACACATGCAAGCATGCATGCATAAATACACTAGCATGGATCCAAAAGCCCTTTCAACGAAGATACCTACATGCCTACATACATACAGACATACATACATACATATACATACATACATACGTGCATACAAACAGACATGCACCCAGGTACATATTTGTACGACATCCTTACATACAGAACAAAGATACATGCATACATAGATACAGCGGTCTCTGTCTCTGTCTGTCCATTTATATGGCCTACCTCAAACTTGTATGCATATTATATAGTTCACGTGACAGTGCGCGAGCCAGCTCGGGGTCCCGCAGCTGCGGCTGGAGCTCCTTGCACTCGTCCGGGAAGGCCGTAGCCTCCGGAAAAAGGCCCAAACTGACTGCAGCATCACATGAGGAGGACTCTACCGGCTCAGGGTGCCAGGCGAAGAATCCCAGCGCAGTGCTGGCTACGTCCCGCACCTGAGGCCCAGGCCGAAGTGGCTTTGGCTTCTCAGGGCCTATACGGCTCTTGGGGCGAGGCTGGCCAGGACTCGTCAGTGGAGGAGTCCAGCAAAGCCTTCAGCAGCCGCTGCCTAAGCACTGGAAGTCTGCAAGGCTCTGACCTGGACTCTTGGCTTCTGCGCGCAGAGCCCACTCTAGGGCCACTAGGCGCATCGCACACGGGGTGGCGTGAAGTGCTCGCGGTAAGGCGTCGGGTTCGAGGGTGCACCTCAGACGACAAACACGGACCGCTCCCGTGCCGTAGGTGCCGTACGCTGCACCTGCAACGCGAGCCGCGAGTTCTGAGATGCAGTTGCAGGCAGCCTCCAATCCGGCCAAAGCGTGTGCACTGCAGCTGCACTCTGCACCGCCCCTCTCTTCAGCTCCCGTTCAGCTCCCGCCTCTCGCACCGCGTGGTTCGGTGCCGTTGCAGCGTCGACGTAAGCATCAATCACACCTCAGGCGCGCGGAAGCCTCATGCGGCGATGTCCCGTGGTGCCCTGTGACGCCGCGATTGCAGGCTCCTCCGAACGAGGCCTTTGAGGCCTTCAACTTTGTCATCGAGTTGACACACAGGCTCCCGGGGCTCCGAGAAAGAAAGCGAAGGCGACCCCGAGTTTGCCCCAAGAACTCCTTTTTCAGGAAAAAGTTGCGTGCTCTCAGCTGCATCGCCTTGTATGGTACAACAATACTCTGTGGCAGCTGGACAGTTCAGCCCGACATCCCATGATATCCCCTCCGAACCACAAGACAGTTGCTGGAAGCCAGCCCAGTGTAAATGCTCTGCAGACTGAAAATCCGATCTGTGCAGACGATAAACGAGGCCAACCTCTATATTGCACGTCACCAGACAGCCGCAGCTAACCATCGTGAGCCGGTCTTTTCCGATTCTCCTCTCGTCTTGCTTGCTTGCTTGCTGGGCGTCTAAGGCAGGGGGAGACCCCTCTCCTCTCGTCTCTCCTTCTCTGACTTCGCCCCACCCTCGGCTCTCGGCCCCTCTCGGCTCTCGTCGCTGTGGCTCCGGCTATCGAAGTGGGCCACCAGCAGCCTGGGCAAGCGCAGCAGTACGGAGGCAACCACCGCCCCCCCCACCCCGAAACTGCCTGGCGCCACCTTGCGGCCCGCAGACCTGCTTCCAGGTGTCCTAGGCACATTCGCAACACAGAGATCCTGAGCAAAGATCTCTTCGGGGACTCGGCTCGAACGAATTCCTGGGTTCTTGTTAAGGGATTTAATTTAAGTTACCAGAATAAGGAAACCATATTATTTACTATAGATCCCTATTATGGTAACTTAAATTAAATCCCTTAACAAGAACCCAGCAATTCTGGAGCCCCGCACCGCTTTTTGGGGCCCCCCCCCGGGTCCTGGGAGAAGTTGCGGACGCCTTCGGCCACATAGTGCCGGTTCAGGCCTCGGCTCGGTTGCAAGAGCCACCAGGCCACGACTCAGGGGCCCCTAGGGCCCCTAAGAACCCTGAACCCTAAACCCTCAGCCCTGAACCCTAAACCCTAAATTAAACCCTAAACCCTGAACCCTAAATTAAACCCCCAACCCTGAACCCTAAACCGTCTGCCCAAGTCTTCACTGTCGTAAGGGCGGCACACATGAGCCCCAAGAGCTGTGGATAGAAGGCCTCCCTTCGATCGCCAGCCTTCGATTCAGCTCTGAGAATCGCCCCCCCCCCCCCACACCGGCTCTCCGAGTATTTAGCGCCTTCTCGTTGAAGGCGCGGGCGGCCACCGAGGCGGCGTAGCGCACCTGCACTCAACAAGGCTGACTCTCTCTCTCTCTCTTCTTCCCTCTCTCTCTCTCTCTCTCGCTCCATTTTTCGTCTCGTTTGCTCCGTCCGTCTGGTCGCTGCATATTGCACCTGGCTCCAGTTGTCCTTGATGCCTGCAGCGACGATGTGAACCTTCGGCAGCCGGTCCGTCGCAGGCGGAGTGCTCCCCGCCTCCGCCCCCGAAATTGGTCCCCCACCGTCTTGGGTGCCACGGTGGCCATGAACGCCTCCTGAGAACAGACCTGGAGCTTCGATGCAAGAACGCCGGAGAAACTATGCCACTATGCATGCAAACGGGCAGTGGACCGGGCACTGCCTCGAAAACGTTCTTGAGGGCAAAGTAGGTGTACTCTCGCACAAAGCGATTGGTGTGCCTGGCTTGACTCATTGACCCCCTGACATGCCCGGACCCGGACGAGGCATATGCCATTGCGGCTATGGAAGTGCGGCAGAGAACACCTGGAACACTCCTCCATCAGTGAGAGCATGGAGTCATCCTTGAAAGTACGCTCACGAGCACGCCGCAGTCGCGGTCAGAGATGCGAGGCGCCGGGCGATGCGTGGCGTGAAGGCCATGCCGCAACCCTGCATCATCGCCTGCATAAAACCAAAACAAGTTCTAGCAACTCTTCCAAACTCGGACGCCAGAAATGCTGCTGTGTTGTTTGTTTATGTTGTTCGTTTGGTTCTTTTGATTTTTGCCGTGGTGTTGTTTACTATTTTTCTTAGTGCACATATTCCGGAGCTGTCTACTTGACCTGAATCACGCGCACGCCAAGGGTCCCCAATAATAATACTAGCAAACCTCATAATACGAATAACACAGTGTGCCGGCTTTTTCGAACAATTTCTTGGGCAAGATTGCCAACTTGCCCACTTGCCCCCTGGGGGGAGCAAGATTGCCAGCAATCTTGCAATCTTGGTCTGAATGGTGAACTATAGTCAGCGAGCGAGTGCGGCAAGTGGGTCAAGATGACCAAGATTGCAAGATGGCAATCGTGCTCTTCCGACCCAGTTGTTTGCTCAAAAACTAACTGTTCTAAATTCCCGACGCAATGCAATAGTACCACCAGAAATAGTAACAGTAGTAGTAAGAATTAATCGTCGTAATACTACAATACTTTTACTAGCACTCATTCTAGCAATCATAATAACAATGCTAAAAACAATCAATATAATAGTATGGCTAATCATGACAATAATAACAAATAAAATCAACATCAATTCATTATAGACTTTAGCGGATCATCAATAACACGCCGCCTCCAAAGCTCCCATGGACGTCTCCAGGGACCGCCAACCTCTGCTCTGGGGGACTCTAAGGCCTCTTACCCGCAAGCAAGGAAGGGCTTTAGGAGGCCTTCCGTGTCGTGCAGGAAGGTGGGTGGAGCTGGCGGGGCAGGCGCCTCCCCGTAGCCTGAGCCGGAATGGGAAAACCGGGCGAGAGATGTCGGGAGGAAAGCTGCAGCCTTGACCCGGTTCGCTTGGCGGCTCCTGGTCACAGCTGGTGCTGGTCACAGCATTTTGCAGGCTCAGGCTCCGGTCTCATCGGGCCTCCTCCTGGGGTCGCTTGAACTTGTCTTGAATGTCGTGCAAGACGATCTTCCCCATCTTGTCGTAGACGGCCAGCCTGGTGCAACGCGCAACGAGGGCGGAGAACTTGCCGCTAAAGGCACCCAAAGGCACCACTTAGAACCAAGAACTGCCCCCTTCTTGTAGATGGGTAGTTCTCTAAATTAGGGTCCCTTTTGGGGGTCCCTTTTATAAGGGTGCCGCACTAT